ATCTTTCATCCAGAAATGTACGTTTACAAAATAAAATATCAAGAAAACTATTATAGTCGCATTTCAATAAAAAACACACAATCCACTATCTCTATTCATTGCTAATTATGAGTTTGTGGTGAACTGTCAGCACATATTACTGACAGATATTGTGTTGTGCCAATCGACAACACTGTCAACATTTTGCAAACTATAACTTCTTATCCAAAAATTAATTACTCTAACACACATTATTCAAGTAGTTTGCAAATTCTGTTGAATATTACGTTTAGGTTTATTTTACATTCGATATTATAAACACTTTGAACAATTCCAATTACTGGAAATATTGCATGTTTCTTTCGACCGTTAATCAAAACAATCTATAAATTACAATGACAGAACTGTTCATAGTATAATTCACTCATTATACTACTCCAGGGTATATTCCACTAAGTAAAATGAAAACATAATACACATCGAACCACTAAATATTTACTGATACCACTGTTTTTATTATCTAACTGACAGTGGTAATTATATCAAAAGTCTCACTACAAAGGTTTGCTCTTTAATCTATGTTTATTAGATGAAAATGATATAAAGTTGATTGATTCTATTTACCACAAAGTCCATAAGCTCCTTAGCAACTGTATATGGTCTTAAACCATAACATTAATAAATGTGCTCTATAAGTCAAAATTCATTTTAATCAAAGTCACGTACTAAAACCGCAGTTATCAAACACTTTGTGATATTTAAAATGTCACCGATGCAGCCATCACTTAATCGTTATGTCATTGTCAATCAGTTTCTATTACAAAAGTTGGTTTATTACATAAGGTTCATTAATGACAAAATTATATTTATCGGTGGGATTCAGGTCAGATACAAAGTGATCTGCAATGAAATATCGGCATGTTAACGATACAATATAATTTGTTGAACAATGTTATGAAGTTGAAGCAAATTAATGAGTTAAGTTATCTACGTTATCTGAGGAGTCCCATATCAGGACGAAACGGCCGTCCAGTGCTTCCAGGTTTTCAATGGTGGTCTAGCTTCAACTGACTCATGATTTCAACTTGCAAAATTTCGAAAACTCTCCACAAAACCCATCCTGATAATAATCAACTGCTCACTAGTGACTGACTTCAGGAAAAACTCCTGGAGTTCTAGTGAGAAGCCGTTACCAGTGGAGTTCAACCGGTCTGTTGTCAGATAATAACTCACTGAAGACAATGGTGTACGGTGGCGCAACTTCGTGGGTTAGTTGAAGTTAGACATTAACACCATTGGTTGCCGGCTCAGTGGTCTAGCGGTTAAGTGCTCGCGCGCGAAGCCAGTTGGTCCTGGGTTCGAGCCCCGCGTGGTGCGGGATCGTGGATGCGCACTGCTGAGGAGTCCCAAATCGGGATGAAACGGCCGTCCAGTGCTTCCAGGTTTTCAATGGTGGTCTAGCTTCAACTGAATGAACGATTAATTGGATGTTTCTCAAGACCCATAAGCTGAAATTAGTTGTTTTATACTTTAGGTTGTGTTGATTCAAACTGATCTTTTAATATCAACTAACTGGTATATTATATTTTGTAAGCTAATACATTCAGAAAATCCTGAATCTGTATCTAATTAACTCCAACAATGTGAAAATTGTCAGTGAAATCATACCCTCCACTATATAGATATCGTTTTGTCAGCTCTTGTCACATAATTTATATGTAGTGAAGTTGCAGAACAAGAAAATTTGTCACTACATAACAGTAACAAATCATTAAGAATTTGTTTAAAAGAATAAGCATATAGGGTTGTTCGAGGATATATAGTCACATAAAACATCAATAGTCTTTTTTAAAGGGGAAATTGTGAACACGGTATCTACGTCAAAAGAATACATAAGCCTTTCCTTGATATTAACATCATGCAAATAATCGACTAGTTCAAAAGTATTATTCAGAGACTAATCAGATAGACACCTTCAGATAGGATCCAACAATTTTTTCAACCATTTGGGTAATCCATATAATAAGATAATTAAAATCTCATTTGATAATCTGGCAACACAATCAGTTCAAATATAACCTCTGGAATATTAACTTTCCAGAATGATACAATTAGACTTCTTTCGTTGGTAGATAACAACTATAACTGCAATGAAATCAAGTTGATTTGTCATAACGTATCCGTCTATAAACAACAAATATGAAATAATATGTCAGATCATGTAAATGTTTAAACAAAATAGACTTGTTATATTAAGAGGGCTCTTGTGAAACATTTTGTAGTAAGATCGCTCAATCTGTATTATCACACAAAGACATTTTTTCTGTGCTCGGCCAAACTGTGATTCAACTTAAAATGGTAGGAAGTGCGGCAAAGGGATCTCTTCTCAGTGAATTTATTATCATACTGTACAATTGCATATATATATGAAACGTTTTGTTAAAGTACTAGTTCCTTGAGGAAATATGAACAAGGAATAACTGAGATGACGTGATAGAAATATTATACTACTAGATCACGTAATACGAATAACAACAATAGACTTAAGAAGTTCTGACGATTGATAACGTGAATGTAGTAAAATGATTAAACTGATTTTGTTATAGAGGTGTTATAGAGGTGTGATATCGTGAGCAATGATGAATAAAATAATGAGAATATGAGACATAAGTAAAGGGAGAAATGAAGTAATAATAAGGATAAAAATTAAGGCCAAGTTAACGATGACGATAGGATGTACTTCTTTTGGACGCATAGTTCTTGTTCGAACTCTTGGACAGTTACAGCATCGGCTATTTTTAGGAACTGGATTCGAAGAAATCTAGGTAGATTTGGATGAATTGTATATACAACCTTAAAATCAAACTGTGAATCAATAGAAAGATTACAGTCGATTAGATGTTCGAATATGGAACTCCTAACAGCTTTCTGATTATCTATGTAAAACCACAATTGAACAAGTTCCCATATTAATACTAATAATTTAAGAAAATCCCGGATCTGTATCTAATGTACTCCAACACTATGAGAGATATCAGTGAAATCATTCTGTCAGATTTTGTTACATTATTTGTATGTAGTGAAGTCTAATAACATCAAAATGTGTGCATCATATATCTGATAATTTAACTCCACTGAAACATAGTAACGTGCAAATTGAGTTATTTTCACTTAGTCAGCTTGTGTATTAAAAGATATTGTAGTTTGATTCTAATTTGTTCGTAGATGTACAACGTTGCATAGTTTTATATGCACTTGATATTGTTTGGCTTGTATCTTCCCATTGAGGTTTAAGACTGCATTTGATCAGTCTGTTATTGGCATATGTGCATACTGTGCGTATGCATCGATATTGCCTTAATTCACAAGCTTTTTGTAAGCAATGAGTGAACATCAACTCTGAGCTGCAGTTACATCCAGCTGACGAGTCCCAAATAGGAGGAAACGCACGTCCTGGATTCCACTGTTAGCCACTATCCACCATTGTTTACAAAAAGTTGCATAATTTTGTTCACTTAAGTTCTGTCTGACATTTACATAATGATGAAAGAACAATAGTTTTCTTCTTAGTTTTCACAGCAATTCTATCGCCTTATTTATTCATGAAATGTCCTGATTACAAAATTGAGTTGTTGTATCATCATTCGCTATTCTGAAGAATGATGTTATTGGAATAATTTTCATGACATTGATGAAGCATAAAGTCAAGTTAGTGACTTTTGAAACGTACTACACTAGTTTTTATTATGAATTTACTAATCCATCATTCACATCGACAACAGATTACGACGAATACTAGACTTTTGTTTACAGTATAAACCTGTTCACTTCCAACATCATTAGTTGTGAAACAATGACAGAGCAGTTACATACATGATATTTAAAACAGTGATAAAAATATTCATATTTTGTCACTCTTAACCATTGAATGCCTTGATGAGCGATGTTTTGTGGTGTAGGAGTAGGTTGGAAGAATGCTAGGGGCGGTCAGTTCAAAACATGACACAAATCCATTATGTCACTGATAAGCGGATTGAGCTATGTTCGTAGGGGTAGACTACGTGGTTGGGATCCGCGAGATGATAGCAACCGATGGTTAGAGACCTTGAATGTGACATGGCTCAAAATCGTTTGCAATGGCGCAAGTGCATCAACTATTTGTGTTCTCTCAAATTCTAATCTTCTAAATTCTTCACGTCCCTTTTTTCTCTTCCCATAGCTATTTCACTGGTTTATATTCATTGAATAACATCTTCAAACCCTAATGTTCATACTTTTACTACCTCGACCTCTATGGGATTTAAATCGACAATTGTATCGCTCCGCTAATGTGGTATGTCAACTTTAACCGATGTACATACGTATGCACGAATTTCTACGTTGTTGCTGACTTACTGATTTTACCTCCTCCGTTATCTCCTTTATAGCAATATTTATCAATCATTTTATTTTTGGAAATACCTGTTTCTTTTAAATTTTATAGATCAAAAGACTGTATTAGACACCGTATTAGAATGAGAAATACATAACCTACAATATCATAATCAAAAAGCATTTAAAACGACATGAACATTATGAAGTATTTGTGAATTTGTAAACACTGGAGGTTCCAACAAAATTAAAACGTTGATCTCTGTTCGTAAACAGTGGAGGGTAACGTTACACTATAAATAATCTACACCAAATATTGACAACATTGTTTTCAAATACATTTAACTATTGTCTAATTAAGTATCTTCTATGGCCTTTGGATTTAACTAATAACAAGTTACATTATTGCATATACACTATTCCCTAGATTTAAATGACGAAGCAACTTGTGGGACCTAACTTAGTGTTTTAAGATCAAGTGTTGTTCTATATTCCATGATTGTAATTGCACGACTTACGTTTGATGGTTTGGTAATGATGATGATTCCTCTGATGTATTTCAAACAATTTGTTGCTAGAAAAGCTAACAGACAAACATATCACTTGTGGGTACTGCTTGATCGAATTTCTTTAGAAGATTATTGCAATAAATGACACCTTACAATCAATATCTTAATGGTACATTTGTCAATTTTATTTTTTTATTTTTTGAAGTTATAACAGTCGATAAACTGTAAGTTGATCTATCTGTCCTTATAGAAGTCTTCTACTGCCTGAAGTTTGTGCTGATGATGTCGTCTAGAAGAAAGATGAAAGCTCCGCAAATAAACAATCCAGATCAAAGAACAAAACTCTGTCGAAATCATTCAACCGAGCTACAAATCTCCACCATCTCGAGTCAATTAGTTATTTAAATAAAAGTTTACCAGTGACCTTTTTCGATATGTTCAATCCATCGTAGCCTAAACATATTTCTTATCAGGCAAAACCGTTCAAAATCATTATTTCGTTGTTTCAATCAAATATGCCGATGTTACTTTGCATTATTTAAACACTGGATGGGATAAGCAAGATCAGTCGTCGATTATTCAGTCGTTTAATCAAATTTACACCACTGTTTAATGATAAAAATTGATCAACCATACTGAGAATATTAGCTGTCAATGAGATAACTTCTTGGTTCGAATCGATGTATAAAGTTCATTTCTGTTCCCTACATTATTCAAAAAATAGTAGTTAGAGAAGCATGAAAACCCACTCAGTCTTCACACAATAAAGTATACTAATGAAAAAGTATTATTCTTATTTATCCAGATGGCGCTAGTATTGTGGTGTATGCTACATATATCTTTCAACACAAATTGCATGTAAGATCAATCAGAAGAGGAATGCCTGGTAACAGAAGGCTAAGAAGATTGAGTTGAAGAAAACAGGGATTGAAATAGAAGGGAATTGTGAAGTGGAAGAATCATACAGAATCTGAGAGACAACTGATTGGAGATTTGCAAATGAAGCAGTTAATGTATGGTTCTCATGTTCCACGAAGATTTGTATGAAATAATAAATAGGTTATAACCACTCAAATCTCGTTCATTATAGTAATTAGCTCAAAGTATATATGATTTACAGATGATCCGATTGTAGGCGAGACCTTTGAACGAATTTTAAGTGAACTTGAGAAATATTAGCCAATTAGGGAACAGTTAGTATAGAGTAATAATACATTATACAAAACCAAAGAATAAAAGTGGCTACACTTCTTCTACATGGTTCAAAATCTTGTCATGGTTAGGAAAAAGTTCTGAGGTTTTAAAATCGTGACGCATACGGTAGTGACACTCATCCATATGAATCTATAATAGTTGGCCTCTGTAGCCATGATAAGGTCGCAAAAGCTCTTTCAGCCTCGACTACATAGCTTTAGTATTGTTTGTGTGCACACCGGTTGTGTAAACTTGTCATTTTTTATTACGCATATATCTCTACAATACTCATACCACTTAACAGCCGAGGCTTCTGTAACATCTACAAATGTTGCAGTTAGTGTTAATGGTGCTTTTATTATGCAGTTCGCGACCAATATCATAATTTGTCTTAGTCTCAATCTGGATCGAGGGAAAAACGTTCCTCTTCTAGTAGACCTCCTCCAACATATATTCCATGGAAAGATAACATCATCACTGTATTCTGCACAAGATCCATAAGTAGTTTGATTGCCCCAATCATAAATAAAGTAACTTCTTAGTAGTCCTATTTGTTGTTGCCGCTCAATTATTATGTCTTTTCTAAAATTCGTTGTGAACTGATCGTACGTGAACATCAGGTACTGAAATTGGCGCCGTGACCCTGAAATCTCTCAAACGCTTCTGATTGGTTCGTCCATAGATTATAGTCCCGCCGTACATTTTTGTTTTCCATCCTTGATAACCTGGTAGAAATGTCTTCTTTTTTTCCTAATATTACATATACTTGCACTCGTTTGTTAATGTAGAGTCTACTTTTAGATTTTGGTTTTATTTGTTCTGTTAGTATTCAACTTTCCCTTCGAAACATTGTTTCTACTGCACTTTATTGAATAATTGTTACTGGGTTCGGCGTTGAGCCGTAGATTAGCAAACGTTGTTGCGCTACATTCTTTCTCATTCCTTTTCAGTTTTAAGTAGGGTTTTTTTAAATGTTTCCTCAAACCTTTCAACTAACACGTTAGACTGCGGATGGTATGTGGTGTTTCGATATGCTTAACGGTATTGATGATGCAAATCTTGGAAAATTCCTCAAAGATAGGCTAAGATCCATTCTCCCGTACAAATACATCCGAACACGCAAAACAGCTGAATACCTGTGTCAATTTTCCCACAGTAGCTTTCATTGATACAGACTTCACGAAGTGAAATCCTGGCCATTCGGAGAAAGCATTAACAATTACTAAGAACTGTTTCCTCTTTTCTGCGGCTGGCAAAATTCACGTACCTTCTTGAACATGGATTTGTCGGGGCTCTCCAAAGTTGTATTTCCGTCTTTCAAGGGGGTTTTGACGGCTTTTGCACATGCAAGACACTATACAAAATATTCTTCGGTTTGAGTATCAATGTTTGACCACTAGTGAATAGATCAAATGAAAGCTTATGATAATAGAAATGTGTATATACATAATCTAGACACTTAGTAGTTATGCAGTAAGAATACATTTGTTAAAACCGTTCATGAACAGTTCCTGGGAACTATAGATATTGATCCGAAACAGCCTTATAACTGTAATCTTATCAGTTTCCGGACATCATCATTTAAATACTGCCTCAAATACTGTTTTCTTTTTACAAATTCTATCTCAAAATGATCTCGACTTGTTTACTCACTGTTATGTACAGTTACAATTGATAATTGTTATTGTTCAAATTCTCTTGGTCATCAGTGTTTATTACATCATATTGTATCATATCTTAATATTACACTTGAATATAAATATGGTTGTTAGCAGCCGATAATGAAACCACTCATTCTATTGTACCTTAATTGTTATTGTTCAATTATCATCACAAAGTATTTCAAGAAGTTCCTCTTTTTTTCATTTCTTGATCGATCTTTGCCATAAATATTGAGTGGCCGCCAGTTAAATGTTAACGATCAAGAAATAGATAACTGACTAATGTATATTCTTTTCGATGAATATTGCCAACAACTACGATGTCTTTGAATGATCGTTTTTGTAAAATGTATAGAGAAATGTTGCAAATTATTCTCACAAATGCATCTGAATAGATTATGAGACTAATAGGCATAATGTAGTAGAACTAATGATTCATAATCATCGAATCCATCTAAGACCTAAATCCTTATGGTAGAATTATGCATAAAGTCTATAATAAAAAAAATCAAAATAAACTACAAAATGATCTATGAAAAACTCAATTCATGGTTGACTAAGACATGAATAGCACATTCATTGAAAATTACCAGAAAGGTTTATTACACATCAAATAGAAAACTAATAATCATAAATAGGATGAACTATGTAAATTAGATTACAATGATTACTAGAAAACAAAAACAAAAACAATTAAACAGTTCATAGTTCTTCCTAATCACCAGTTAAACTAGATTGCTGATGGAATCTTGTATATAAGAGATACCAATAAGAGATATAATGTTTATAATTCATTCACAAAAAAATATACAAACACACACACACACACAAACAAACGGTTAGTCTTATCAAATTAACCAATTTGCAGTTTAATGTTTCATTACTCAATAGAATTCTAAGAAGATTTTGTTTCCATCTGTTTGAATAATCTAATATACTTGGTAACATAAATAAACCGTATAGGACTGTGATATATATCAACATTTCTGTAATTTGTCAAGTAAGTAATGATGGATCACATCTACTTTAAATTACTTTTCCTAAATTCCATGAACCATGATTTTTCATGTTTTCATAGAGAAGAAATCATGCATCATTAGCAATGGGAATGTAAATCAAAAACTCGAAAACGTTTCAGTCGTTGTCATCTTAATCTATAATGATTGAATGAATATTATATAATGATAGATGAATAAATATTTACTGGACTCGCACACGAGACTGATAGGTCTTGGGTTCGAATCTCATGAATTTGGATCGTAGATGCATACTGCTGAGGAGTTCCACAATAGGACGAAACGATCGTACAGTGCTTTCACGTTTTCCTTGGTGATCTAGCATCAATTGACTCATAATCTCAACTACTAATATCAGTTAATTATTCAATGTTTTTTCTATTAAATTAACATACTTCAATACAAACAATGAACAAGCCAAATATCAAATTTTATTCAGTCTTCTCTTCGTGCTCTTACTGCGATTCGGGAAACGAAAAAATACTAGTGTTAGCAGTATTTCATTTCTGGTTATCGTATTTTTAGCGAGTTAGTTTTCTACAGGATTGGGTCGGTAACCTCATGCTCAAGCCTCCTCCTTTATTCAGGCTTGGAGCCGGCAGTAGCTCCAGAGGGGTTCCAGACGGATTTATGTTAGTAGTATTTAACATATCAACCAAAGAATACGTTTAGATGTGCTTATACTTAGAATTTCCTTACCATTCAACATTATGCGCGTTAAATTATTTGTTACCGATTCATATGTAAGAGATTATTTCCACATGTATAAAAGAATCCTACAGTATGGGGAATATACTCTGAGTATATTAATAGTTCATATCATACAATTGTAACTAGATATTCTTCTTTATGGCTTTACCGTTTGTTTTTTTGGTTATTATTTCCAGTTTAAAATTTGTGAGAAATAGAACTTTAATGACCAATCATTGTTACAATAGAAACATGCTAAGGAGCTCGTATAATTTATGATTATCAATCAAGAAAGTCTAATTCTTGAGGACCTATGGTAACCATTTTTTCAACAAAGAAAAATTTACAGTGATCAGTTATTACCAAATAATCATAAACTTTTACTATATAAACTAATTATAAATGCAACTTAACAACATAGACCTAATCATATATAATACATGTATTGGAACTCCGACTGCGTCGTATGATACATAGTGATCACACACAAATGATTTAATGTTTTATACCATATTGTCTTATATTTATATTAATTTCAATGATTAAGATGATGAGTCATTTGAAGCTAGATCAACATGGAAAACCTGGAAGCACTGAACGGCCGTTCCGTCCTATCGTGGGGCTCCTCAGCAGTGCGCGCACACGACTCCGCGCCCCGCGAGATTCGAACCCAGGACCTACTGGTCTCGCACACGAGCACTTAACCGGCATCCAACGGTGTTAATATTTAACTTCAACTACTCCACGAAATTGAGTGACACATCCGCCATTGTCTTCAGTGAGTTACTATCTCACAACTGATCTGGTCGAACTCCACCTTTGAAAATACTATAATATCCACAAAACACATCTGATATTATATTTATATCCTTGAACATGTTAAAAAATGGTATCATATTATTCCTAATACTAGATACACTGACGCAAAATGCTTCCTGATGTCTACAATAGTTCATGGAAGTACAAATCAAGAAGTAAAATTACAAATATATATAACAGCAGTAATAGTTCTATTATACCATATTATACGAAAGAGGTAACGATACAATGAATACTTTTAGTTCTTTATTGATTTCAGGTTTTCATATTTCTCTCAATTGAGATAGCTATTACTCTGTTGATTATCATTATCTTATCAATCCTGTAAGTTATTCAATAAATCATATAAGTAAATATTTTGTAGATTCATAGCCGGATATCTATGGAATTCATGGACAGTTTTTCTTTGGGTATTGACGTACGTTTTCTATAAATGTAATAATACAAATTCTAATCAATTTTTTTGAAGGTTTGCTTGTTGCATTCGTCTGTGTACTCAGTTATAAGATCATAAACATATATCATCATATGTTCAGAACTGTGATCGATCAGTCTTTTATTCAGATATGTGGATCCTATGCGGATCGCCTTGATACTTCAAGTACATCACGCTGACGAGTCTTAAATAGAACCAAACGCACGTCCAGATTCCCACATTACATTTGTAGACGGATGTTGGTGTTCAGTAATTCCGATAATAAAACATAGTAATCAATAAAGGGTAAAGCACATCTGAAATTGAGCTAACGTTAAAAGGCATTATACTTACATTTCATAGCATGCTAATCTCATAAAACCATTCAGTGATGTAGTACTGAACATCTTTTATGTCATTTCTCATTTTATATTCCAATCACATTTTTAATATTGAACATTAATCTGTCATTGTTAAGTTAGTAAATGTGAGTTCCTTCATCTTATGTGTGAATGTCATTGAATTGTCTAAGTGTTACGTAACTTGACAATTAGGCTTTGAGTTGTGTAAACGCATTACATGATATTTATTATAAGATTGTTTGATGCATTTTATTTAGTGATACCGAATCAAGTTCGATGCTGGTTGACATTTATAAGGAAGAAGAGCCTGTAAGGGAGACACAACTGTTTCATTAAACGGAATATACCCAATGAGACATAAAATAAGAAAAGAGAACTCTTCGCTAACCATTTCATTAACACGTCATTTGCATAGAATCTTTCATTTAACAGGCAAATGATATGATCTAGTAAGCTTGTAATCCATTTTTATTTTGGTAACACGCATGAACAATGAATCATTTGAATAGCTTTATCTCAACTATTTGCTCATATTGTGATATTGAGTGGTTTTATTTAGAATGTTTGACTTTTGTTTAAAAGTACATTTATATGACAATGACATTTCAATATTACACTAATTCATTTTGATCTATTTTGTAGTTGGTCTGCTTTTGCATTAGCAATGTTGATTATATTCTATCAAAAAATAAGAGATGAACATCCATTGAATATTTTTCTTCTGGTTATTTACGTAAGAACTGTCAATTTTTGTATGTACTTTACCAGTTGTTGAACCTTTTGAAATACATGAAAATTTGTTATTGATTGAAATCATGAGGGAATTCTCGGAGTTCTAATGAGATAACTGTGACCAGTGGAGCTAATCCGTGTCGGGTAGAGACAGGTATCTACCTCAGTACAATCGAAGAGGATCTTTAAGTTTTGTGGATTGTTTGAAGTTAAACATTATCACCGTTGGATTCCGGCTCAGTGGTTTAGCAGGTTGGACACACTGAAGGCCCTTGGTTCGAATCCTGCAAACCTGGTCATGTGTGGTCACTGCTGAGGAGTCCCACCATAGTACTAAACGGTCTTTCAATTGGTTCATGATCACAATATGCAGTAAACGATGATCCTCATGACAAATATTTCAAGATGAATCCATATCTATACACTTACTTTAACACTCAAACTTTTCATTAGGCAATGATGTATATATAATGAGAGAAAAAACTGTAGTAAAAATTATTTATAATGTAACTCCCAACATATCGGCAAGTGCTCATCAATTGAAGTGGCTCATATTGTTGCATTCATCTATATTTGTCTTGTAAAAATCATTCAAACCATCAATTTTGCACTTCACAAACAAGAATGTTTGGAAAATTGCATATTTATTTGCCTTTATTACTTAAGCACAATCTAGGAATATTGAACAGTGTTTCTTTATGTAAATTGCCCACTCAATATTAATGACTGACGTTACTCCTGGACTTACAGTTTTATAAATGCATGCATTTTCCCACTGTAGTATGATGTAAGTGGAATACAGGTTTAATTTGTAGGTTCGTATCTTTCTCACTACGAAAATATCAGTTGAGGTACACCGTACAATGATAATATATACATATATAAACTTCAAGAGTGACTGTTCATACGTTATCACAAGGTGAATGACTTTATATAATGTATTTCCTGAATACTTTTGTTGAAATGTATGTTCAGGTGGGAAGAACACACGTCCGTGTCTTCCTATGTTGTTTAGATATGGAACGACTTTTGAATTAAGGAAGTCATTATTGTTCTCAGGAAAAGGATATCATGAAAATTAAAGCAATCTATTTGAGTTTAGAAAATAAACATCAGCTGTCTTGTAAACATTTTCTTACCATAATCTCGTAAACACATGATGTATGACGATAGATATTGTACAAAAACCTTTCTGTATGAAGTTAACTAAACGTTGATCACTGATTTAACTTTTATTGAATTCTGTTACATTTCAGTCTATATGGATCGGTACAGCGATTGGAATTTCGGTTTTAAAACTATGCGTCTACTTGAAAGTAACTGCCATCGCAATCACATTGATATCTTTTATTTGTTCCATATTAATTGGAGCTGCAATCCAAACACGATTAGCTGATCATTTCCTGTTAATTCTAACGTATATTGTGATTCTTTCCATTGCTTTTGTGGCAGCTGCGATTGTATTTTATGTTTTAGGGCGTTGGGTATGTCGATGAATGAAACTGTTTTATTAACAAGCTAATTATTCTTCATATAACCGTTTGTTTCATGCAAATCCATGAAAATTAACACACACTTCAAACACAGATGGCTTGGACAATACTCCCGATACACAGTAGATGACAATTGAATACTGAGTCTACTCACAAGCGTTCAATTTTAATAAACGCTTATGTAGTTGGTTTGTTTTCAGAAAGCATTTGAATTCATTTACTTATCTATGTACATAGAATCATAAAAGTTTTCTAAGTGACATACTTCATAATACTTATCTCAGGTAGGTGAGTAATCAGTTTTGGGAAAATAATGAACAAAGAATTGATTCGATAGAATTTTTAAGAATTATTGACTACGTTCAACTACGTTGGATAATTTTCACCGTGTAATACGTTTCTCGATAACAGCGGAATGCGTTACGTAATTACACTTCAATTCATTTCATCATAATCTTCAACATGCACATTGATTTCCATGAATGAATGAAAGATTTTACTAATAGAGTTTTATGTGTAAGGTCTACATATTTCACTAACAAGGACTACTCAATAATACTTCCTCCATTCACATATTCAACCAATAAACTTCTTCACTTTTGACTACCGTGACCGCAACACTATGTGCATGACACTTGTACACGATGAAATCACGGTCTTCATCTAAACGTCTTTCTTTCATCCTTAAATTGAAAGTAATCGTAATTACCTTCAACAGTACTGAACTGTTCGCCTATACATACAAGATGATATGTTGAACAATTTAGAACAGGCGAACTGAAATCAATTCTCTTCATTACATAATATGCATTATTCTTCTTTTAAACAGTAAAAGAGTGAGTTTACAGAAGTTGAAAGATGAGTTCTACCTATATATGCAGTTCACTTCATTTGATTCAGTCACATTTTGATATTGATAAATCTCTACATCATATCCATTTGTTAAATGTTAACTTCTCTTTGGATTTTAGGTTGCACTGATCGCTCTCGATGTAGGTGCTGACATATTACTATTTCTTGTGAGTAACATGCACTTATGTATTTATATACACAGCATAACCAGTCTTCCTAGTTGGTCAACTGTACAATCAGTCGTTTAGAATGATAAGAGAATTTGCCACGGTCTGCATATAGCAGCAGTTTGTTGAGGTGTATGTGAATGATAAATTCATTCACTTAATATCATGCTTCGCTCTTTCTTCTAGTTTTAATTAATAGACATCGTTCTCTTAAATGTATACATGAATTACCTTTACATATATTTGCATTTACTTGCAAAACTAAAAATACTACTTATATGGTTGCATATGGAAGTAGATCTATGTTTCAATGACCCATTTTAGCAATGTTATATTTTTAGTGTTAATATATGCATGGGTTATTTGTGGATTAATTTAACATTAAGCTTTTGGTTTAGTCGAAATTCCTGACACGTATATTTTTGAATTTCTCCTAACAGGTAACAATCTGTTTCAGTCAATTTACTGTGGGAAAATCAGAAGTGCGGGTCTTCTTTCCACATTGGACGTTGGCAGTATTAGTACTGTATACTCTCTTTTACATCGATTTATCAAATAATTTATATTTGGTAGGCATTGTAGATTTCATCAATACCATCAACGAGACGAATAGCACGCCGTGTTGGTAGTTTTACTGTTTATAAGGAGATAAATGTGATCCTTTTGAAACTAAATTTGTGTTCAAGTACAAATGGATTTGCAATGAGATTTCTCACTCAGACATTTCCAATCTGTTCGATTTTATTCCATCTGTAATAAATTATACGCTGAACAAAATCATTTCTGAGAATTTTATGTTTTTACACCAGCTACTGGTGAATTAATCAGTAGTATATAACAATCACGTAAAATATTAAACAATCCTACTACCTGAACAAACGATTTATTCACATCAGTATGAATCAAGTCTCTTATAAATGTAGGTGAACATATAGGAAGATTAAGCGAAAGGAGTGAGAGACAAGCACATTCGTGAATATCTTCATATGATCTACAGATTATAGTGCATATTTCTTACATTACGTTGAGTAAATTCATTCCTGAATGAATCACCAATTAAGTAAACAATGTCTTGAATTTACTCAATCACTTAGGTCGAATTTCTCAAATACAATTCAGTTTTATCGGAACACAGAGTTATAACATCGCTCTTTCAAGGAAAAGTGTAATGCAAATAGGGATAATATGTAACTAACAGCCACGACACAATAGATGTTTTCGTCAACCTATATTTACATGTTTCGTGAAGACATTTACTGTTACGTGTTCAAATTAGAATGCCAGTTGATTCCTTAGTTTTATCGATGAGATACGAGAATCAATACATTTGTGGATTGCTCAGCATGTATTAATGGCATATGCGCATAAATATAATACTTTTATTAGCCGTTATAATACAGTAGTTTACGCATATATGATTTATCTGATGAAGAATGTACATTTTACTCGACTACTATTAAGTAGTGTTATATCCTTGTAGCCATACTACTTATACCCAAAATCAAAGAACCACTACAATTTCCAAGACTCAAAGTAACAACATCAAATACTGATTCAAGTGAACATTCATTTTCTTCACTGATATTCAACAACGACCACGCTGATTTTGGGATAAGAATTCTTAGTTCACCTTTTCGTCTCAAGGTATTATTATTATTATATCAAGAAAAATCGTGATAAATCTCTTCATAAATAGTGTATTGTAATGTCCATGCATTTAAGCATGATTATTTCAGTGATCATTGATGAAATATCATTGTAATGCCAATTGTTCAGTACTCAGAGCATCTCTATCTCTCATTCTGTCGACAAAAGGAATCACTGATCGTTGCAGAAAAGTGTTGACATTAAGAGACAAAACGAAGTCTCACTAAAGTTTATTTGTGCATACATATACAACTGTAGAAAATGAGATTCAACTATCACAAATAAAAGACTATCCCATAGGTTTGAAGTTATTCTGATGCTGCAATATTAATGTCCACATTTGAAAGTGATTTTCAATGAATTCCACAAGCCGATAATAATTACTGATGTACTTAATTGATTATATAATACACAGAAAAAATATTATCGAGAATTATGTATACATGATTTACTGTTGCATTTTAATCGTATTGAGGTATAACTGATGACAATTATTGATAGTTGCGATGCGTCGTGAAGTTCACAATGTCAATAAAGTAACTATTTATATATTTGCTTTACAATCTCACAATTACATATACCAGAAGGGATTTTTGTGGATATTATAGTAATTTCAATAGTTGAGATCATGTGTCAATTGAACGGCCGTTTCATCCTATTGTGGGACTCCTCAGCGGTGCGCGTCTACGACCCCGCCTCACGAGACTCCGACACAGTACCTATGAGTCTCGAGCGCGTGCGATCAAACTCTACACCACTGAGCCTGCGTCCAAATGTGGTTATATCTAACTTCAACCAATCCACGAAATTGAGCAATACATCCACCATTGTCTTCAGTTAGTTACTATCTCACAACATACGCGGTTAAACTCGATTGGACACTGCTTCTCACTAGAACTCTAAGAAATACCTCCAGGTTTTCCATTATAATCTAGCTTCAATCGACTCATGATCTCAACTATTAACGAACTGAAATCCTCAGTACTATGTATATGTTCTCTAAAAGTTACAACATACGGACGTAATCTTTTGTTATAAAATTATCTATCAGTTTGATAGGTCTGAGTTTGAATCTCGAGAGGCGGGATCGTAAATGCGCGCTGCTGAGCAATCTCAAAATGGGATGAGTCGACCATCCAGTGCTTTCAGGTATTCCATGACGGTTTCCCCAGCACCGTCCTTTCAAAAAACAATATATCTTCGGGACTACATTCAGCCCCATGAACGGTTTTCGACGGCAATCCAAACTCCTTAGTGTCCTCGACTTCGAACTTCCCCCCTATTGTTCTTCATTGTGTCCTCCGAAGTTCCTATACTTGGAACATTTGTGATTATCTCCCGTAGAAGTCTCACTTACCTGTCAGCCCTGTTCAATGTCCTTTTTACTCAATGTGTTTGGTTGATGTATCTAATCCATGTTCTGAATGTCACATGCACTTTCTACAAAACGTTTCATATTCTCTCTTCGAAGATTCCAGATCCTCATCGATTTTCCCAATTGTATGACTTAATGGTGACCTTATCACCTACATTAGAACTTCGCATATTCTGAATTTGTCCGCACATATCCATTACTCTAGGTGACAACATGGCGCTGAATGTAGTCCTAGTACTTCTTCCGCATATAAATTCAGCTAAGTCTTCCTATCTGGAACAATAGGGTTAGGTGTAGTTCTGTAAGCTGTTAAGAATTTCGTGATTACCAGATTTGTTCTTTCGTACACTCTTTCACTAATGCTCTTTTAAGTATGTCAGCAAACCGCTCCTTCTTTTCATTTGATTGAGGGTGATAAGTGGAGAGTATAAATGTGTTACTCCATTAATGCTACAGTAGTGCTTGAATGATTCTGAAGTGAATTGTGAGCCGTTGTCGATCAATAATGATTCCGAAACTACGAAGCAGCTAAGCGGTTCAGATAACTTGCTGATTATTTCACTGGTTGTGCAATTCACCATGGCATAAATTTGTGGTCATTTTGTGAGTGTGTCCACCATGACTAAAAACATTCTTCCTCGTACTGGGCCGGCAACATCTGCATGCAGCTACTCCAAGGGACTATTGAAATTTTTTATTTTGTTGTGGTTCACATTTCTCTGGATTTTTGGCTTCTTGTAAGCATTGTGAAATTTTGATAACATTACATAATACATAGTACATGAGTGAGTCCCGCCGGTGAAAATATGGTGGCAGATGTCCTTGAAAACGTCGATTTGAACACTTGGTGAGAGAGCAATCACTATTTTGTTCTTAAGTCTTGTCATCCATACTCACCAATTAAGTCCAATATTGAGAACAATATTCAGTCGCAAAATATGAGATATGTTAATTGTGAATCTAAATTAGTTTGATAAAATTAGTTTCAAAAGAGATTGTAGCTCAAGTGATTCACACGTTTGTTGGTGCTGATTGAATGCATGTCTTTGGAGAATTCCTGGAAATTACAGAATAGTCATGTCATGAATTAGTGATTAATCACCTGCTAAACCAAATCTGTAATATGAAATGACAGACATCTAAAAAAACTATGGCAATTTATTTGATTGACAGTTTCATTTTGTTACACCACACATAACAAGAAGTGATTGATGTGACGGGATGAAAAGTTATGATAAGATTGATTTACTCATTATGATTTTTGTTCAACATTAATTTCGTTTTATGCTGATGAGGTACGGCAACTTGGACCGCTACATATATATGCCTACTACTACGTTGTTGCTGACTGACGTTTTTTTAATTCAATGTGATGATTACTCAGTGTAGTATTTGTTTGTTCTTCCCAGTGTGATATTTTATCCTCTATAACATACGGTATTATTGTATTAAGTTAACATGAACTACACTCAGCATGTGATTCGTTATAACTGTAAGTATTTTTCATATATGTGATTTTTTCCTAATTATTTAAAAAATCAGTATACAGTCAATATATAAATGAGTGTATTTTCGACTTGGGCGGTCATCCGGGTGTTTTGGTGCTTAATAAATCTTCGCTTGCATCAGTTTTTGTCATCTTATTTTCGCGTCGTGGGAATTTCAGTGGTTCCTTGTTTTCGAGTATAAGTGGTAAGCGATCACTATTTTTGAACTCATTTACTACAGCACTTCAATTGTGTTAACGTTCAAGTCTACTCAATCCAGTTAAATAAAAGAAGTTAATTACAGTTTATATAGTTTGTTTAAATCTTCACATTGATGTTTAGGACTACAATGGATCAGTGTCTTATCGGCATATGTACATAATGTGCGTATCACATCGATATTGCCTAATTTACAAGTATTACTAACAAAGATGGATTGTGTCTAACAACTTACCTGCTTCCGATAGTTTATTTTCACTCCATGACTCGAAAATCAACTCTGGGATGAAGGCACATCTAGCTGACGAGTCTCAAATAGGACGAAAAGCGCGTTCTGGATTTCACTACCAGCCACCAACCAACTTTGCTTAGTAATTCAAATAGTTGCCTCTGCCTTACTACATTTCAACACACGTACACACTGATCTCAACTCTGTCTATTCATGCAATTTGTGTCATTTTGTGCTACATATTATGATGTTGGTTGGGTTTGGAACATTTTTTAAACTTCTCAAACAAGAGTATGTAAAACATTTGAGATTGATGTTATAATTCATTGTGAATTTCGTACAAAGCAATTAGTACCTTTGATAAATTTCAATGATAACGAAGATTATCAGAACTATGTGATATATTAGCACAATACATTTCGAACAATCTGATCACGAAAATTCAAATCCCCTTTGTGTATTCAAAAACACTTTGTTCTCACCTTAAACCTACACTGGTAATATTGGATTATATTCCAGAGTGACTAGGTTTCAAGTTGTGTTCACATTATTATTTATACTCCTATTATAATCCTTGTCTTCTCTTACACCATTTCCAGTGTAGTTGACCATTTATTTTTGAGTTAAGTCTGTTTAACATTCTCTATTCTTCTTGTCTTCCCCTCGACTCTTTTGTGTATTGTTTTATACTACTTATTTATTTTCAGTAAAAAGTTACATTTCTGTCAAATTTTAAGTTTACGTTGTTACTATAGTTTGTTGTGTAATAAATTTACATATCATTGATTGTATTTATCATTATAATTACTTTATCTCAATCATACACAATTTTGCGTATTTGCTTAAAATCTGAGAACAATACAGTAAATACTTCAGTTGAAAAATGTCAATCAATTTTATC